ATGAAAATGTGAGATTATTTGGGATAATTTTTATTTTTATTAAAAACCAATGTCGGTAAAGGAAGCATCATCATACTTATACAGTTATACATCGTATCCTACTATTTACAGGAGCAGCAGGAAAAATTGTGCGGGAACAGTTACACCATTAAACATTTAGATCAACCTCTCACGATCTCACGCTCGCTCATAGTGGGTTCTTTCTTCCGTTAAATTTCAGAGAGATTTTTTCTTCCTCATCAGTGTGCTCGCTGAGCCTAGGCAAATTCCTAGCGCCGAAAAGGAGTCAACTCAGAGAGAGGGAGTAACGTTGCCGAGGATGGTGACAACAACGGGCTAGGGTTTTTATCCTAACATAACCGACGACTAGAAAGACGAGCGACGACCTGCAATCTCTCTTCCACATTTGACTGCCCTAGAAAAGGTCTATTTTTCTTTTTCTTCCTTGGTCTTTGCATCTCGACTTTCTGACTTCAAGATAGCCAGGTTCCAAAATAGATGGCTTCCTCCCCAATTTTCATCAACAGATTAGAGATCCTGTTTCTATAATTTACTTGCAAATTGTGATAAAATAGATGAAGTCCCAATAATTTTTAGATTCTACTTTAAATTTTTTGCATCAATTTTTTTCCTTATGTGAAAGGGAACAATGACGATGAATGGGGCACTTGATGATGCTCGCAATGGAGTCATGTCCAGAAAGTGTTCATTTGAAGTAGAAGCAATGATTGAATCAATAAGAGCAACTTACAGGTCTTACTCTTCCTCCATTTTTTATATTTTATTTAGTTTTACATTTCTAACTTTTTTCACTATTTCTATTTTGAAGCATCTGAAAACCACCTCCAAACTTCATATGCAGTAAATTTTCAACTTGAGCTTTTTCAAGTGAAAGGAAATAGTTTGAAGATCAAGATCAGGTATCAGGTCATCTCAATTTTTTTTCATCAAGAAACCACCTCCAAACTTCACCTCCCTTTTATTTACATTTCAATTTTTTATGATAAAAATGAGCAACACAACCACGATGCACCAAAAAAACTAAAGCAGAACACATGTAATAAAAAATATTTTTACATTTTGAGTAATTTGGACAATTTCGTGCAAAAACTCTTCCATCTTTTGAAGTAGAGGACTTTCTAGGAAATTGCCTCAGTCGTTGTAATATAAAACTTTAATATATGAATGAGCACTTCTTAGAGCTTGATAATAATGACTTTTTATCCAAGTCATGATAAAATTTAAATAAATACCTGTGTATTAAAGATTATATATTTCAACAAAACTGAACTTTTTAGAATATAGTCCGGTTAGCCTACCTATAGCAAACTAAATGTAGGCTATAATTGAGAGATATTGCTTGATGAAGATGGATACTCTTAGTGCACAGGTATTAAGAGCATAGTTCTTAGCAATTTAGGTATTTAAGTAAATATTTCATTTGTAAACCTGCCCAGGCCAGTATATTGACTTATTGGGCTCTAAATTTAAATTTTTATGTGAGGATTATAAGTCTTTTGTTAATTAGACTTCAACAATATTGCAAACAGAGCAGCATGTATGTCATGTTTCGTTTAGGATAAGTTCTTGATGCTCTACTTTTTCATGTTATGTAAAAGACAATATTTACGTCTATTTAATTACACTCACAAAACCATTATCTATACCTTCTTCCCAATCCCTGTCCATTACTATTAAATTTGAAAATGAAAGATTAGGATTAAAGAAAGATGAAAATATAAATGGTGGCTGATTGTATCTGGAAAAGTGAAGAGGGCTTTGGAGTCCTCAATGTCGGAAGCCTAAAAGTCTCGAGGCACATAGGTCCTAGGCGGAGGAGCATAAATATGACATTGTGCCTTCGTCTGCGTCTATCTAGGTGATTAGGTTAAACATTTATTTACCTTTTGGAATTTCATTACCACATGTGTCTCTCCTGTGATATGAAATAGCTAATTCATTTATTGTTTTATTCCTATGTAGGCTTATGGCTAAAGCTAACTTAGGGGCTGTTTGTTTCAGCCTCTTAATGGTTCAGATGTCTGAATGATTCAGCACTTAATGGTTCAGACTGTTTGTTTCAGCCTCTTAATGGTTCAGATGTCTGAATGGTTAAGAGATTTGCCTCTGAATGGTTAAGTATTATACAGAGTCTGAATGGTTAAGAGCTGTTATCTAAATTGATCAGACATTTGCCTCTGAATAGTTAAGCAATATACTAGCTCTTAATGGTTCAGACCTCTTACTGGTTCAGCACTTAATGATTCAGACCTCTTACTGGTTCAGCACTTACCCATTCAGAAGTTGCCAAACAGCCTCTTAGAACATCAACTGATTGGCATTACTCAAAAGCAGAGGTTATGAGTATATAGTTGGGCTTTCCTTATCCGGTGATATGATGGAGACTCCACAATCAAACCAAGTTTGGAGTACTACAATATTTTTGAGTAAACATTCGATATTTTACTTAGTTCATTTTATTATTCAAAGTTGCATTGCTCCTTCATGTTTTGCTATAGTAATTATTATTTTTTCTGTGACAAATTTGTATCAAGGACATAAATGGTAGGTTGAAAGAGAAAGGAATAAGTGAATACCTCTAGGATTTGTAGCTCTAGCAGTGTCTTTATCATTTGCTTCATTATAATGTTTATCTCATTGTGCACTTTTTAGAACCTTTTGATGTATTTATTCATCCTTCTAATGAAAGGTTATCCCTCTGAATGTAGTTGGTTGAATTTTTTAATGGTAAAAGCATTTGGTAAAGTTGAGTTTAGTAAAAGGAAATGATTTTAATTTGTAGTTTATCAGATTGAATATATTATTTGAGTGGTTAGGTGTTTGGTCCCCAAATAATTTGGGGTACATATGGTGAAAGACTTGGTAGTTGGCCAATGATAATGTGTAAACCGAAATCTTACGAGGTTGTGGGAAAATTTGTAGTTTCCCCTTTGTGAAGGAGGGAGTACTTTATGTGTTAAATCGAGTGGGACAAATGGTAGAGAGGGTAGAAACGCAGAAAATTGACACCATTTCAATAAAGCTTCATTTCATATTATCAACTTCATCAAGCTTCGTAATTCTTACTTCTTACGGATATTGCTCCTGAGGCAAACAAAGAATGAACTCACCGCTGACCCAATTTAGGTATTTAAGTTTTTAAGATTCATTTTTAATAAATCATATTTTTTTCAATTATGTTTAGAAGGCTAATAGCATGGATGCTCCTCTGGTTTACAAAAGGGAGTCAAAATTTTCTTTGTTTTCAAAAGTTATTTGTAAAGTCCATATGGTTTCTAAATAGAACACACATGCCCCCCTTACCTATTTTTAAAGCAAAAATGACATTTATACCTTTTCTTTTCCCCGATCTTGAATTTTTCCAAGTTTATTTTCCTTTATTATATAAATATATAAAATAAAATATACACTTTCCCATCTCAAATTAGAATTTTTCATAATTTACTTTTGAAAACAAAAGATTTTTTGGAGAATGTTACAAAAGAAATGAAAAATTAAATATTATGTACAAAGTAAAATAATAATTGAAAAGGTAAAGAAAAGAAATAAAAATATAACAGTCTTTTTCTTTAACTTCATATTTTATTTCATCTTTCTGTTATTCATTTTTTAAAGTCCTTAAAAAATTATGTTACTATTAAAAAACAAATAAGTAAGAATTTTTAATTAGAGATAGAGTGAGTATATGTTATCTAATTTTTTTATTTTATTTATTTTACTTTCACTTATAATGAAAAAGTGTATTTTATTTCATTTTTTAATTTTTCATTTTTTTGTAACATTTTCTAAAAAAAATTTTTTTTTTTGAAAATTGAATAAATGAAATATTTTAATTTGAGAAAGATGGCATATATTTTATTTTATTTATTTGTACACCACAAAAGAATTTGCCTACAATTTGTGATAAAATACCATAAAACTTCTATTTATACATAATGTTATATTTGTACACATGTATCTATCCTTTGATATAAAGATTCATCAACCAACATTATCATTTTTCACATTTTAATGTGAACAAAATTATGTACCGTGCAACACACATATAATGTAAAAACTTATTTATGCAATATGTGGTTATTTTGACAAATCGATAAAGGTTAATAATTTTAAATAGCAAAGAATAAAAAATGTCTCATATAACACCGTTAATGTTGTATATAATTTAATATTATAATGTTTTTACCGTGCATTGCACGGGTTAAAATCTAGTTGGAGTAACTTTGAAAATGGAGTTTGTTAGAAAGAAGAAAAAAAATCCACACGTTTTAATCTATTTTATTTTATTTTATTCTTGTTAAATTATTACCCCGTATTTATATAGCGAAATGGGCGGATTACAGCTCACAATAAATACTGTACGCCGCGTATCTAGACGTACAAGCTAATTAATTTGTTAGGCAAAAATTAAAATAAAAAAAGAACAAAGTAATACAAAAATGTTTTTTTTTGCTAAAGAAAAATGGTTTATGTAAGGAATTGTCAGTTTAAGCTAAGGAACAATTTAATTTGTTTTAGTCAGAAGTCATGGGTTTTAATTTGTACTCCATTCTAACATCTTCAATATTGTTTAGAAAACTATTAATTTTACTTTTATACTGAAATACAACATATTTTTCTCGCATATCGAAGTCAATATTTTAAAACTTTGACCAAAAAAAGTGAAATGAAAACATCAAGAAATGATATGAATATATGTTAAATAATGTTACTTGTATTATTGTTGTAAAATAATACTCCGTAACAATAATAATAAATTACTAATAATAATAATAATGTACCGAGGAATTTACGTAAATACTAAATAGCACTAAAATATAATAACTTTCCCTAAATAACACTACATATGTTTTTTTCTCAATGTAGCACTTTTAATCATTATCCATTAGTCATTATTCAAGTAAATGTTTGTCATCACCGGTCATTATGGACATTATAAAGTGCTATTTAGGGAAAAAAACAATCTAAGTGCTATTTAGAAAAATGACTTAAGTTTAGTACTATTTAGTGTAAATATTTCATAATGTACCCTCCGTATTTAACTAACCTTAAAAAAGAAAAATACAAACCCTCTCCATGGATAATATCATAATAAATTCGTCAAGAATTGGAAACTAATTACTGATTACTCCGTATAGTATTTAATTAACCTGCATTAATCACACAGGTCCAAAAACATACGAGTACTTCTACAAATTTAAATTAAAAAAAAAAAGATAACAAAAGATACAGAAAATCACTGATGTCTTAATGGATTAAAATTTAAAAGAAGTAATTAAAAACTTCCACACCCCATAATTAATTAATTAATTAATAATCTCTTGGGCAACCATCCTTCTGGACCTAATGATGTTGAGAAAACACAAATAAATGTGCTGTTCAAGCTCCTTCAACTGCTCCAAGAACCACCCTTCATGCGCTGCAAAACCCCTCACCACCTCCCTCAACATCTCGTCGTTCTGCTTCCTCCCACACAGCTCGGCTATGGCGCGGTTGTGCTCCGTCTCGTCGTACAACCGCCCCACCAGCCGACTCATCGTGTCGAAGTCGTTCACGAGGACGTAAACGCCCTTCGCCGCCGCGTCCAGCTGCGCGTACGCCCTCGTCCTCTTGTTCTTGTTCCTCGAGGCCATCGCCTTCTTTGAAACCCCCCCGAACAGCGAGAGGGACGCCAGCGCGAGCCCCACCACCGCGCAGTGGACTGCGATGAGGGCTGCGGAGGCCAGGGCGAAGGCCGCGTAGCCGACGACCAGCGACACCCCTAGGGCTTTCTTCAGGAACCCCAGGAGCCTCATCCTGCGCTTCAGCTTCCTACGCGCGGATATCAGGCGCCGCAGCAAGCTGAAGTGGCAGTCCTGCGCCTCGTTGAACCGCACCTGGGAGACCCTCGAGAGGGGGTTTCTCGAGGCCGAGAACGACGCGAACTTCGCGTACACGGGGCCCAGCTCCGCCGAGGCGGAGAGCCCCGCGGTCGCCGTCGCGATGTTCCTGTGGTAGTCGGTCCGGGTGCGGAGGACGTTCTGGAGGAGGGACTCGCACGTCCGGCACGCCTCGAGGCTGACGTGGAAGTACTCGTCGAGGAGGGGGTGGGGTGAGGGTTGCTGATGTGGCAGCTCGTCGGCTAGGGCTTCGTGGCAGAGCTGGAGGAGATCACATTCCTGATAGTGAGGGTGTTGTAAGGAGTTGTTCCTGGTTGCCTCTTTATTATTGTGATTTCTGGTGGCTCCGGCGGTGGCAAGCTGTGTCTGGACTTTGTCGTAGATTTCAACGTAAGACTTGGTCCTAAAGGCTTCCAAGTATTCGTGGTTCACGCTTGGTGCCTTGTTCCTCAAGCTACTCTCTCTTTCCTCTTTCACATTCATATTATTCCTTCCTGCAAAATAATAATAATTTAATTTACTCTATTTAATTTAATTACTTCGCAAAATAAAATCATTAAAAATAAAAAGCAAAGTGATCGAATAATTAAAAATTTGTTTAGAAGAAAAAAAAAGTTTTATTGAAGTGTATGTGATAGTTTTTAACCCTTGATACTACGAGTTGCTTATACGTAACTCATAATCATCATCACAAAATAAATCTTGATTATAATAATTAACATTCACAAATAACACTTTTGAACTATGATTACTTATTTCTAATACTTCAAATGGATTATATGCATTTTGAAACACATTTTTGTAAAATATATGTTGGACAAAAGAAGTAAAATATTATCACGATCTAAAACAAGGTTCAAGTTACGTGTCGAAATTTGTTTAGAAAGGATAGACAGAATATGAAGTACATAATCCTTGTTAAGAAACATAAAAAATAGAACACAATTTCGGAACGAAACAGGAAAAAGAAAACAAGAAAGAACATAAATATGAGTGTATATATATATATATAGATTTATACTTACTTGATGAAGAACTATTTGTGAAAGAAAGGGGTTGTTTGATCTTGGAAAGCTTGGTGAAGAGAGGCATGATGAAGAAGATGATTGAATTGAATGATTGGAGAAATTAAATGAATTATTAATTGTGATAATGAATTGAAAAATGAAAATGAGGGAGGGGTGTGTGGGTGGTGTATATATAGAGGGTGGGTTTGAGCTATATGTAGAAGTTGTGAAAGCAACAACAACCTGGCAATGCTGTGTATATATGTGTACCTATTTTTTTATTTTTATTTTTATCTATGTGCATCGCAGAAATATAATTATTAATATATACACCATTTTATATTTATGTTTATATTATATTGGATTATATTGGTTGCTTGGAAAGTGCAACAACCAAATTATTACTTTGTAGAAGCTAAATACTCAATTGAAAACAGTTGATCTAAACAAATTAAAATCAGACAAATAATCGGAAACAGAGGTAATAGTACTCCATCCTTTCTTCAATTTAATGCTCGTGACTTCATCTGTCCTAATTTATACTACATGTTTCAATTTAAAATGTTTAACCAAAGTTCTTTTCAAGATAATTTTCCTAATTAAGTATTACATCTAGAGTGGTGGTCTCAAGATCTACATTTAAAATGTGGACCTTTCCACATTTTTTATGGGCTTTCATGTAGATATTTTTTTATTTTACAAAAGACTCACTTCTTTTATGTTATAAATAAACTAAGATTCATAAAATAAGCATGACCTTAGATCAATTGAAGAATTTGCCTTACATCAAAGTTATACGAAACAAGACTTGACAAACATCATTATATTATTTTATCAAATGACTAACGAAAATAGGGGAAAAAAATTACTAAAGTTTGACACTATGAATAATAAAATAGAATACTGAATTTGGGACCGAATAAGTATCTATTATCAATAATAACTAAATTGCATATTTATAAAGTATGGGGCTACAATTTTTTTTGGCACTAACATTTATTTATCTTACTCTTGTTAGAAAAAGAATATATGTGATCTTAAATACTCCATCCCTTCTTAAAAACTCTTCCTCTTTCATTTTTTTTACTTCCAACAAAACACTTCCACTTTCTATTAAAAAACCACTTTTACCCTTACTTTTTCATACCCTACCTATCACATCATACTTTTTCTCTAATACTCAATACATCACATCTTACTTTTACCCATCACATCAAGGGCAAAATTGGAAGTCAACTACAATTTAACACTTTCTTATTTTTACACAAAGTCAAAATATGAACACTTTTAAAAAACGGAGGGAGTATTTTTTTTTGTTTTTTTCAATATTCATCAATATTTATTTCTTGAACATTTTCCATCTCAATATTCGTGGAAATTGATTTCAGACGAAGGAATTTTTTTAATGTTGTTTAAAAAATTATATTTCAAAATAAATATAATCTAAGTGAAATATATTCCTTAAATACTTAAATGTACCTTATTAAGTTCGTTTTTTACGTGCGTAAATCTTTTTGTGTGTAGGATAATAAGGGAAATTTTTGTGGCCAAATTGTTGTCCAGCTTGGCTTTCCGCTGACGATTTAACAATCTTTTTTAAATTTTTCACGCGCTTTTTTTGTCACGTGTCCGCCCAATTCCGAATTTCTTGCACTGTGGGAACACTCGGTTTATGCCACGTAAGTTTTGCTTAGTTGGCATTCACTCCTTTCTCCATAAAATGCGCTATTTTTATCCCCAAAAAAAATAAGTAAATAAATAAAAAAATTCTTTATCTTGAATTGACATTTATCTATGTTATAATGGAAATGTAATAAAAAAAAGGTCATTTTTATATGAAAGCAATAAATTATTACTCTGTTCGTCTATAAATTTAATTTTGTTTACTTCACGAAATTTAAATAAAATGGTAAAAAAAACTAAAAAGTAGATGTTGAGAATTGGTTTTGAATATAAGAAAATATTGTAAAAGCAACATCTTTTAATCGTAAAATAGAAATGCGAAAAGTGTCACTTTTTTTTGAATGAATGAATGATTTGGTTTATTACTAATGTTATATAGGGATGTACTACATACGTAGAAGGTTTATTACTTTATTTTGATTCATTGTATTGAACCGTAGAGTAAAGAGAAATTTTAAGAGTAGAATATGTTAGAATATAAGTAACATTTCCTGGGCCACAACCACAACCTTGAGCTTTTGGTTGAGTTGGTTCCTTGATATGGTATCAGAGCCTCGTTGACTAAGAGGTCATGGGTTCGAAACTCAGCGCCACCCAGTTTTTGAAAAAATTAAAGTTTCACGTGTGAAGCTCGAAAAGAAAGACTACGCTTGCACGTGAGGGGGCGTGTTAGAATATAAGAAACATTTCCTGGGCCACAACCACAAGCTTGAGCTTTTGGTTGAGTTGGTTCCTTGACAGAATATAATAATTTTCAAAATATGAACTCAAAAGCCATCAAAAAAAATATGAACTCAAAAAGAAAAAAAATACTCCGCAATATAAAACGAATGCCAAGCTACAGAAATAAATATAATCGATCTTTATTTTCCACCAACAATTTTATTTTATTTTTGCCTTTAGCAAAATTCGACTAGCCTTTCTCGACCGGGTTCTAAATTTGTTTGATAAATAAACTCCCCTTCTTTATTAATTAAATGTCTCGATATTTATATTTTCATTTCTTTTTAAAAAATACAGAGTATTTGTGTGATTGACATTCTGGCCGGTCAAATTCCCCAACACGATATCCCTACTCGTAGTCCAATAGAGTTCGGATATCGGTTTTGGAATAGGCGCCGCCGCCTAACGGCGTCCGTCCAGACTAGACGGAGTGAGGAACGTAAAATGACAAATATGTTTGTTAGGGGGGCCGGCATTCTAAGCCAGCAAAACTGCCATGCTGTTCCAAATTATGAATAACAAACAAAGCACACAACTATATATATATATATATATATATATATATATATATATATATATATATATATATATATATATATATATATAATATAACTAATCAATCATATAATTATTTGGAAGTGGGCTAACAATTTGATGGCTTGCTTGTTTGAATAGCCCAATATAATTAAAATTTTGGCTTTTTGAAAATCAGATAAATACATACGTACGATGATAATTAGTACGTTAATTAATTAACACGTATTTGAGTTCTTATCCACTCATCATCCCCATATCAATGGACCACAATGCATGTGTGTGTGTCTATGTGAATTTATAAATATGAAACGTTTTTATGTGGTCTAATTGAGCAACCGTTGCTTCGAAAATGAACCAAACTGCCCGTTTCCATATTAAGGGGGCAACAACATATACTCCCTCCGTCCTAAAACTTTCTGCCTGTTGCGTAAAACGAAGAAAAATCCCAAGTTTTTCCAATTTAGTTTATTTAAATATTGGTATAGAAATAAAAAAATAAAACATGCATATTTAAAAACTACATCAAAAGTTCAACAAAACAAGTGGTGACAAGAATATTTTATTTTATCATATAGGCCATGAAAAAACACAAATAAATATAAATTCCCGTGAAGTTGGAATAGTACTCTGGGAAGAAAGTTTTAGGACGGAGGAAGTATTTAAAATGAATATATTTATATGGACTCGCTCTGTTCTAAAAAGAATAACAACGCACTGGATACCGTACTATTCTAAATTCACGATAACTTTTTTGTCATTTTTGTGTTTTTATTGCCTATTTGATACAGAGTAAAATAAAATACTCTTGTCATTACCCGTTTCGTAGTTTTGAATATGTAAACCCTTGAGGCTTCAATTCTTTAGGCAAAAGGTTCGGGATAGCGAGAGAGTCCTTGAGGCTTCAAATCTTTAGCCTCCAAATCCTTGAGGTAAAAAGTAGAAGATAGCCAGAGAATCTTCATGGTAAGCGGTTCGAAATAGTCATTGTGAAATCTAGAGGTGAATCTTATTGGCAAGAGTTGTTTGTCAAAATTAGAGCGATGCTTTGACGGAATTCAAAAGACCTATACCAATCTTTAAAAAAACTTGAAATAGTTTATATCTAGGGTCACTTGACTGAATCATAGAACACTGGAGTAAACCACATTTAAAAAAAAATTGAATTCAATTGATTACTTAGTTCAACTCAAAAACTTATATACCTATAATTTTTCTCTTCAGCTTCCGATTTAGGACTCTAATCCTTCCCCTCAAGTGGACAACACAATAATTTTGAATCTAACCAGTTCGCAAATGGATATCCATTCCCCTAAAAGGCTAAAATGAATATATTTCAGCGTCGACACATAAAAAATCACGAATTGCTGGCAAACAATGAGATTAAATGAGCCATAAGCCATTGGATATGTATTCCATGGACAACTGGACTAAAAACTATGACTACTAAAAACGTCTAGGCATGCATATTGACAAATTAGGTGATCCAAAAGTTGTTTGGATACCATCTTGATAAAATTTAGGATGGGATAAGAGTCATTGAACTGTCGCATAAGACATTAATGTTGAATCACATTAAAATATTGAATTCAATGGATTACTTAGTTCAATTCAAAAATTATTTATCTACTCATTAGTTTTCTATTCAACTTTCGATGTGAGACTCTAACACTTGGGGTGCATGTGTACCACGGTTCGCGGACCATCAAATAGCTGGACGACCTTCGTCCTAGATGTCACGCCTCAAGCGGAAGACAGGCCTTCAAATAACTAGCGAGGGAGGTGACCACCTCAGGCCCACGATTGCTCCCATGCTAGTCTTGACACAAGTCCATTTAGCTCAACATGATCCAAAGTACTTATTTGGGCCTAGAGTAGTGTGACCCAAGCTTCCATCACCATGTTCTCTTCTTCTCATTCTCAACCTGAGTCTGGTCTTTGGATCGTGTAACTAGAGTGCTTATTACTTTTTATTATTGGAATCAGATCAAACTAGTTCATATTAGAAATAAATTTAAATATAACTACATTTAGATCAGAATTTATTTTAGTCAGATCAGAATAATTCAGATCAGGTGAAGAGAACATAATCTAGATAAATTTATCCCAGAGTATTTGTTTAATTTTACTTTATCGGGTCAAAGTATCAAACTAGATAAATTTTGTCCATCGTTTAAATAAAAATTGTATGGGATATTGGTTCAAAAAAACAATTAAATTTATCTTGCGAAAAAATATCAGAAACTTGTTTCAATGAATTAATATGTGATGCAAATGAAAAGTAAATAATTGCTAAAAATATATCTTGTTTCGCTCAATAAAGTCAAACTTAACGAATACTTTAGATTTTGACGAGATAATGGGAAAGAAAGAAGACTTCATTAGTTTCTTCTGGGCTTATCCTTTTGGCCCATCGTGCCGGACTATCTACTTGTCGTATCCTTTTGGCTCTTTGGGCCTGACCATATGACCCTGACCTCTTCGCTAGAGTCCAAAGAGAATGAACTTCGCTATTTGCTGTTGCTTTTCTTAATACTTCATATTTAGAACCAGTTTGGGATTCACCCAAACAAACAAAAAAAAACAATTTGGGACAGTTTTTTAAATCAATTTTGCAAAATTTTATTTCCCTTTACATATATACGAGTAATTAGTTTTCGTTTTCGACTAAGTATTATGACATTGTAACGTGTTTTTATGGTGTCTACCTCTTCAATATGATTTACCCAAGTTTAGTATTCCCTCCGTCCTAAAATTATCTTCTCAGTTACTACTCATATGCTCAAACATAAATCAATTTCTTTACCTATTTTTGTTAGTTATTTGATAAAATAATATAGTCTTGTCATATCTTATTTTGTAGAATTTTTGATGCATTTTTTAAATATATAAATTTTACTCTTACAATCAAATAAATTGAATTGAAAATAAAAGCCGGTCAAATCTCGTAAACACAAATGTGAAGATAGTTTTAGGACGAAGGAAGTACTTTAGGATAAAAAAAGTCGATTCGAAAGTCAACTAAACTCAAGTGATCCAATTGAAGAGGGTCTACACTAGGAGTGAGGTAAAACGGTCAATTTTACGACGAGAGACCATAAATGTTCTAATGAAGTCTAATACCGTGGCATGAACTTCAAATGTCAAAATAAGAAAGTTTTGGGTCGGTGGACATTGCGCCGTTGTCAAAAGCAAGAAGTGTCAATGGGTAGATCCTAATTGAATTCCTGACAACTGCGTTCAGAGATAATTATGCTGAGTATAAAATCTCTATAAGTAATTATCAGGTGCAGGTATTCCTCATCATCACCAATCTGCAATCAAAGTCTAAATTATCTCTTTTCAGTGACCGTCCGACAATACCCCGAGAATGGGGCTCATCCTTTAAGAAGGCAAGCTCTGGTTTAAAATAAGGTAAATCTAGATATTGGAGTGAAATAGGAAAGTATCACATTCCACGTACAGATAAATCATTCCGATCTCCTGCAACAGTAGTGTGATACCCAAGAAGGTGGGAATGGATGATTTCTGGAAAGGCATTAATCTCTCCCCCGTCCACTCGCCCGCCGCTGCCGCCACCTACCTGCCGGCGTTCCCCTCCGGCGCCGGCTTCTCCCACGTACCGGGGCTCCTTGAATTTCTACCTCTCCTCCCTGAAATCGGCGGATCCACAAGCTCCCCACGGGCCGCAGTTTCCTCCGGCTCTCAACCCGCCCCTCCGCCGCCGCCGCCGCGGCCTGTCAGAAAACGAAAGCCGGTAAGAGACGGCTGCTCCGATCCCGAGCGCCGCCACCAACGCTTGATTAAGAACAGGGAATCCGCCGACCGTTCCCGAGCCAAAAAAATTGTACTGCACAATCTTTTCCCCCCTTCGAATTAAATTCATTTGTCATTTATTTGACTCATCAAATAAATTATCTTTATTTCAAGAATATAATTATTGCATAAATATAATTAAAATATTACTGTATATATATATAGGCCTACACAGCGGGTTTGGAGATAAAGATGCAATATCTAACGCAAGAGAATCAAAAGCTGAAGATGCAAAGGGTCAAGGTGTGCTATTAATAATTAATAATATAATTAAATTATTATTTTTTATAGTAATTTAATTTCTTTGAAGACTTTTGTGATGTAAAACTGTGAAAAAAATAATGGGTTTTTAGTCTTTATTATTTTTCTTAAATTGTTTTTTGACAAATGAAGATCTGGTCTGGTTTTTTTAACAAGCTTTTAGGTCTTTCTTGAATTAAGAAACAATGATTGTTGCTAGATATGACTAAATTATATACTCCTCATCATTTAGGCATGTTACTAAATTCATAGATCTGACTTTTTCCTTGCTTGGACCACTTACTAAATTGATACTCCCCCTAACAATCAAATGAAGGTAATTGTTTTGAAACATTAATTTATTTTTGCCTTATTTAGGTCTTCTTTTGACTCATATTTTCTGAACCTTTTATTCTTTTTTTTTGCCTTATTTAGGTCTGTTTGTGACTAGTTTTTGCATGATTTAGGCATGTTTTGAGACTAATGTTTTATGAACATTTTATTCAGTGCAGAGTTTGGGTGTTTAGAATGGGCTTTACAAATATGGTGTATAAGTAACATTATTACTTAAATATACTTCAAAGATTTTCATATTGTTACATTTTGACTTTTTTAATCAAACTATGTCACCCTTTGATTATAATTTAACTATAGTTTAAAATAGTTAAATATTATAAATATATAATACTTCCTATGGTTCCTTTTTAACTGTTTGAGGATTTAAGGAGAATGTACTTTGGTGTTGACTTTCCAAAAATGCCCTTTGATGTTATGGATAAAGTAGGATGAGATGGATAGATTAATAGAGACTAAATGTGATGTGATAGGTATGTTAAGAGTTAGTAGGGGTAAAAGTGATTTTTTAAAAGAAAAAGAGAATTGTTTTTTGGGATAGATGAGAAAAGAAAAGAGAACTTTTTTGCGAGACGGTGGGAGTACTTTAAAAGTATATTTTAAAATAAATCTAATTTTATTAAATTTATACTCTAACTAAATACGGAGTATAAGTTTTAATAATTTATAGTCAAAAAGTGACATAGTTTCATTAAAAAAAGTTAAATTGTGATAATTTTTTTTAAAATTTAATTTATGTAAATTTGTGTGTGTTGCAGCTGCTGACTGCTGGGATTCCTCCTGCGCCCATAGTGCCACCAGAACCAGAAAAGGACAAAAAGCTCTGCAGGAGTTTGACATTTTGAGGAGAAAATTAAAGAAGAAGGGGTTAAAAAAGGAAATTTTTTTTGTTGAAGGTAAAAAAAAAGAAATTGAAAAACTGTAGTAAAAAGAGAATGTACTGTGCCTAGTTGGCATATTTACATTCCTAGCGACGACTGGTTAGAGAGTGGGACCCAGCCAGCAGTGCTGTTGTACGCAGTTGTTGGATGTATAGTGGGCCGTACATAGTGTTGTGTCTCTCGATCTGTACGAGATATTTTCCACCCTAGTCCGGGGCAAGGTTGGCTTTGGGTTCGTTAGGGACTCCTCCATCCTAAAACTTTCTTTCCTTTGCGCAAAACGAAGAAAAATCTTAAATTTTTTCAATCTATTTTATTTAAATATTGGTATAGAAATAAAAAATAAAACATACATATTTAAAAACTACATCAAAATTTCAACAAAACAAGTGGTGACAAGAATATTTTATTTTATCATATATGCCATGAAAAAACACAAATAAATATAAATTTCCGTGAAGTTGGAATAGTGCTCTGGGAAGAAAGTTTTAGGACGGAGGGAGTATTTCTTTCGTCTTATTTTAAATTGAATGTTTCGATTTATAGTGTATGACTTAAATTATTTTTTGAAATCATTTTATATAAAAAATAATATAAAATTGAAAAATAAAAATATCACACTCCCTCCGTTCTAAAGCTATTTTCTGAGTTACTATTTATACGGTCAAACTTAAATCAATTTCTTAATTTATTTTCGTTAGTTATTTGATAAAATAATGTAATCATTTCACTTTCTTGTTATGTAAAATTTTTGATGTACTTTTTAAATATATGGATTTTATTTATTAATTTTACACCTACAATCAAATAAATTGAATTGAAAATAAAGTCGGCCAAACTTGCAAACACAAGCGGAAAGATAGTTTTAGGACGAAGAGAGTATTTAAAAATTAGATTAATAGATCTACAAAGTTAGAGCAAGATGGTTACTCCATTTGTACATCATACTTTGACAGACACGCAATGTCTGTGCACGACATTGTGTGTCTGCGTGTATCTACGAAAGTTTGATATACAAATGTGATACTCTATCTTAGTGTATCCCTCATAAATGGACAATTTAATTTGAGATGAAAATGACTCCAAGTATGTATATACCAATTTGGCACACTACTCATTCCCCACCATATATTTCTTATCTACTCTCCAATATTTTTGTCTACGTTCATCTCCCCACATCAACTCTATACCATTAATTACTACTCTCCACCATGGCACCACTCTTCCTACAATCTTATACTCCCTCCGTCCCGGATTATTCTTCTAGTTTTGACTTTTGGAACTGTTTATCTAAGCACTTTGACTCATCAAATTCTCTCAATGTGTAAGCCTAAATATAGTCATGTGTGATCTTGTTTGATTTGTAACATATAGATTATTAATATATAATTTCTATAATTTTTTAATATACAAATTATAAGATAAAATGGATTAAATAAGTGTATTGGATTGTGTGTAAAAATGAAAGTGGAAAAATATTCTATGACGGAGGTAGTATTACTTATTTTTTCCACTCTGTAGTCAGAAAATAAAGAAGACTATTCCTAGCACATATGAAAAGCTGAAGCCTCTTTCTCACGTGTATATATGACATCAATCTCTACCATGGAACTCCTCTTTCATATTTTATTCTCCCAAAAAAGATTTGTCTATATATATATATATATTGCACATATACTCCCTCCTCCATTTTGATTACTCCATACAATTTTATTTTCTTTCTCCTCTCAACAACTTTTGTTAATTTGTGTGTTTTCATTTATTATTTGATCAAACAAAATTTTTGTACCTCTTATTTTGTAGAATTTTAGACGTAGTTTATTAATATGTAATTTTTATTTTTTTATTGATGTACGAATTTGTAAATAAAAATTTTTAAAAATTGTGCAATTTGTATCGTAATTTCCATTTTATAATCAAAATAGGGACGGAGGAAGTATATTTTTAGTACCTAAAAATGTAACATTGGATTTATTGTCCATTAGATATAATAAAATTATTTTTTAATTGATACACAATTTAAATTTTGGTTTAAATGAAAATAGAATATCTAATTTAACTAAAAAAAAGTCAAATTAAACAAATACTACTCCGTATATGACATAGGTAGTCAAATGCTACTCTTATCTAGACTCCTTTCTCGGGGAATGTTCTAAGTTATTATCTTGATTTACTTTTATTGATTTTCATTCTATTGGTGGGATTCGTAGTTGCATAGCTCATACTCTTGCTAGGTGTTCTACGACCCAGAGTGTCTCTTGGGACTGTCCACCGCCTAATTGTTTTGCACATTTGATTTCTTCTAAATGAATTAGTTTTTGCATAAAAAATAGGACATAGGTAATTTATAAAAATGCTTGCGGAGAGATTCATGGGTCCCGAGATCCCACAAGCTTAGATGCGGGGAAAACTCCTTAGATAAGAATAAAAATCTATGAAAATACTAAAATATGAGTCATGCCTTTTAGGACTAAAATAGAATATCACATTGTCATTGTTACACTGCTACGGTCACTATATTATCGCATTGCAACTATTACACCTTCACTGTCACACTGTCATTTGTCATTGCCAGCCACTAGAGTGTGTCGCGTCGCAAACCCCGATAGTTGAGTGATCACACTGCCATATAACATCAACACTTTTCTTTCACACTGTCTAAGCGTATTCTTACAGCACAATAGTTATATTTCTATTTTAGTTTTAAAAGACTTAGAATTTTTATTTTGGTACGTTCATACCGTATTTTTTTACTCCTGTCCCTAGTGATTTCGTTTTTTGATGTGTTCCGAGATATATTTCATGGATTCATAATCAGACATGACATTGTAGATAGAGACGTTCTCACATCATTGTCTGAATTCATAATACTCTTTTCATTTTAAATCAAACTTTTATTTAACTTTTCAGAAGTCTAGGAAAAAAATTAATTGTACCCTCCATGTCTTAAATTAAATTGTTTATTTACTATTTACATAATCAAACTTCATTCATTTTTTTGTGTTTTCGTTACTCGTTTAATAAAATCATATAATCATGTCACATCTTATTTAAAGAGCTTTAGATATAATTTTTTTAATATATAAGTTTTATTTTTTAAGTCTTCTCCAATCCCGAAATAAATTATATTGGAAATAACTTCAGTCAAGCACCGTAAACCTAAATATGATATTTAAATTAAGACGGAGAGAGTAACTGTGAGATTTATACAAAGAAAATAAACTTTAATGTTAACTATTTGAAGGTGAGTATCTCACAAGATCTTAAAGAGTGGTCTTGCTGCTAATCAAGAAGTTCAACATACTCTCTATCATACATGCACTATAAACCCACTTATCCATGTGAGTAGTAGAAGAGAGTGGCAAAAAACCGAAATGAACGCTCTCCAGCATCTTCAAATTCTCGACATGACTTCAATCGGTTGTTCCTCTTCCGGCATGAAATACACGTCGAGAAGTTCATAAAAAGCATATTAATGGAGAAACGTACAAGTTTGCGCACTGGGTTATGAAAAAATCACACATATGTTTTCCTATGTTTCTTGATCCCGAGAAGTCAAACTCAATCTCCTCCGCGAATTAAGATTTCCACCATGTCAGAAAATAAATTAGAACGATATGAATCCAAAAGTCGAGTTCCTGCACTAAATGCTGATGAGAATAGCTAAAACATCTCTAGCCAACTTAAATAAAACACTAAACTTAAAATCTTTAGCTTTACACCAAGCCAAAACATCAAAACCATTACTGGTTCCGGCAACTTCAATGGGATCAAGAAAAATATGAAGACGTATGTAAGATTTTTCATAAATTGATATGCCAACTAGTATGTTTTTCTACTAATATACCCTTATCAACTTCTAAATGTGTAATTCATGCATGAAGAGGAACAAGTGATTGAAGAGAGTAATATTGAAAACTTGAAGATGTTGGATAATGTTCGTTTCATTTCTTACCGTGAAACCGTCACAAACAAGTTGTAGCTAAGGCCAAGCAATCTTTAGTATCCCATGTGTTGAGATGGGGGAGGGATCATGCCACCCTTTGTTAGTCCTGCAGAAATAAATTGTCCCAATGAAATAAATAATCATAAATATGCATATCGTATCTATATATGTTGCACGGATTCTTCAAACAAGTGAAGTGACGCTTCTAGTCTCTGGAACGTCCCCATTTGGACACTTGGGACGTCCTGACAACCGAATTCTTTGTAAAATTTAGGGGGGGGGGGGGGAAGTATTTCATTGTTCCCGACCCCATCCCTGTCTCCGTGCAACTTAATATAGTATGATGTTTCCATTGTCGAGGTGTACCATAAGCTCCTCGGATCTCGACTTCCCGCCATTCTTGCACAAGTGCACAACAACAACACAACACATGCGAAAAGAAGTCATCAACTGCACCTCCCTGGAAAAGTTAGAAATGTAACTTGTGCATCAAAATCCCACGCACTGGGCTCTGTTTGACAGCCTTATTTCGCTAACGAGCGAAATAAGTACCTTTTTTCAACTTTATATCCTGATTATCTAGATTCTAGACTCCACTTTTCCCAGATTTTGGTTAAGATTCTGACTACTACTAGAGACTTTAGGTTCTAGACTCCAATTAAAATGAAAGTAAAAAGGACAGGGATCGGACTAAGTCCAATTAATCCTTACCTTGATGTTGAGAACCCTACGGAGTTTTACCCTGATGCAGGATGTGTAACAGCAGCACGCTAAGAATATAGAATATGTCATTATTTCTCCACAAGCTTCTCCTGAAGCTGCAACAATTCACCCCACACCAAACGACACCTTTATATCGCTTCATTAATTTATTGCTATATATGTGTGCGTGTATATTATATGTGTGTGTGTGGGTGTGTGTATAAAGAATCACTTACTGGTTTGTTTCCCAGTTGCTACGGATGCAACTTTTGACAGAGTTCCACATGGCCAAAAGAAAGTTTTCACACCTACAACATCAACACAAGAGCTATCAAAATCCCATAGAAAAAAGGCTCGGTATGTGTACGCAGAACTTACTTCTACTTGATCATTAATAAATATGGATCCCAGAGCGAACCAAACGGGGGCTTATAGATCCCAATGAGCCCCAAATATTGAGGAAAAGTTAGCCTGGAAGTACCGACATACACAATGATGGCTCAGAACAGCATCCAAGTAGATCGGCGTGCCATTCTTCCCGCCAACTCGGTCTCTTAGCTGATCCATATTCGTGCCCTCCCACAACTCTTAAGACACACACACACACGACTAGCTTGTTAGTAACAAGAGATTGGGATATTTTTATGTTTGGTTTGAGAAATTATGGAAGAAAGGAAAATGCTAATAATAACTTTCAATATAACTTCCTTGTTTAGTTGTTGCAGAGAAAATGAAAGAAGACGACGTTTGAAGAGGGGTGGGGGTGGGTGTGGGTGTGCGTGGGGCGAGTGTGGGGAGCTATATACCTTTCGGTTGTATGAGTCTCTTTGAGCTTGGGGTCACTCTCGATGTTCTTGGGACAATCTGAAGATCTTAGAGTAGTTGAAACATTCTCGGTGACCTCAATGGGGCGCTGAATAACCTGTTGAGGATAGTCCCACATCAAAAACTCAAGTTTTTTAAAAAAAGATTAATATATAAGAATATGAGTTACTGTCAAGGAACCAATTCAACCAAAAGCTCAAGCTTGTGGTTGTGGCCCAGGAATGATTGTTATATACTCTAACACGCCCCCTCACGTGCAGGCGTGACCTCTTTGAGTCTTGCACGTGAAACCTTAATTTTTTTTTAATCTGGGTGGCGGTGAGTTTCGAACCCGTGACCTCTTGGTCATCAAGGCTCTGATACCATGTCAAGGAACCAATTCAACCAAAAGCTCAAGCTTGTGGTTGTGGCCCAGGAATAATTGTTATATACTCTAACAGTTACTCCTCTCACTGCCAATTAGTTTTGGATAATAATTTCATAATTCTACATGACCTCACATTCGTTGTGGTCCATATTAGCTCGTGACTGTTGTAGTTCAACCTTGAGCTTCTTGCTCTCACTCTCAAGTGCTTCATTGACAGGCAAGTTTGGGTAAGAACGGGACAGATTCTTGATCAACAGGTTTCTGTCATTTCTTGAAGGCTGCGGATTTGAAATCGCAGCTTGTACTTTCATGTCTTCATCTTCTAACGTGTACTCACACTTGTGCATCTCAATCTCTTCTACCCTTCTCTGCAATTTCAACAGATTTTGGGTATAGATGAGGTTAACAACTTCAAGAGTGTTGGTTGAGGATTTAAGTGTAGTTTAGGTATAACACTGCCTTTTTATACATCAACAACACCATTTAAACCAATCAAAGGTGGCAGTTTTCTTTATACATTGACTACATGGACAACAATAATAACAACACATGATCCCAACTCTCTTCGAGTATGTTCTTTCAGACTGGAACTTACCGAGCTTAAGTGGATGAAGTAAATTGAACTGAACGTAATTGAATAGACTAAACTAAACTAAGCCTTAACGAAATCAAAAGTACAGTGAAATCTTGAATTGAACTTAAATGAAAGCAAGTTGAAAAGAATATACTCTTATTCAGTCATCGAACAATTGGCATTTTATAAGAGATTATACACATTAAGGATCCTTACAAAATGACCCTTTTACCATTATTGAAGTTTAATATCAAATGCATTCTATTTGTTTTCGATATGGAGTATAAAGCAATTAGAGCTCATATGAAAAAATTTGGCAAAAATCATTGATAAATTTCTTTTTTATTGAAATATATTGAAAATGAGCTTAACTGAAATGAATTGAACTCAACTTAATTGTAATTTTAATCGAAAAGAAGTGATGAACTCTACTGAATCGAACTTAACTGAAAATATAAATATGTTGAAAAGAACAGGCTCTGCAAAATTCAAAAACACGTCTTATTGAATTTCTAAAACCACCCTCATTATGGAACAAAAACATTTGTCAAAAAATGGACAGATATTTAGGATCAGAAATCAAGAATGAACAAAACCCACACAAGCAAAAAAGCTAAAGAATTGAAGATAGGGTTCAATACATACATACATTGAGTTTAGCATTGTCAAGAAGAGCAATGAGGGGAATGATTTTCAAGTAACGATCAATCTCTTCCTGAGATCTTCTGAACTGATAAACAATGTTCCATCCCATGGCGATGAGGTAAAGGTAGCTCCTTTCTTCACAGCTCTTCACCAGAACGTAAGCCCTTCTCAGAGAATCTTCCAGCTCCTCCAATGGCTCCCGGGTCTGGTCACCTGGGCGGTCCCGGATCTTGAGCTGGTCCAGAAGGTTTCCGATCATCTTCAAGTGCTGCGCGAACTTCTTGCAGTTGTTTCTGTGCATTCGGGCGTTGTTCGCCGCTCTCACTATCAGTCCGATTAGTGCTCCGGCGCTGAGCCCGGCCAGCTGCACCACGTTCGCCGCCGCATCTCCGATTACCATATTCTTTTTTTTTCTTCTCTTTTGGAGTGGATTAGTGGATCCGAATCAGGGGAGGATCAAAATTCACTGGGTTTGAGGAGGTAGAAATAGGAATATTCAGAGATCACAACTATAGAGTATGGAGAAGATGCAGATGAGGACAAAGAAAAAACTAGGATTAAAACATTGAAAAAAATGTGATTTTCATGTTTTTATTTTTAAAATAAGACTTAGATTACCAAATATGGTCATATACATTACCCAAAAAGTATGGTAATGTGCACATGTACACTGCCACATTACCACAATGCAAAGTCACATTACCACAGTGCAAAGTCCTATTTCGGGGAAAAAACGTAAAAATCTTATTTTGGTACTTTATTTCGTGTTTTAGTCTTATTTAGGGTGATTTCTAAAATAACTTTGATGAATGTTAGGGAGACAACTTGATACTCCCTCCGTCCCAGAAAGAATGCCACAGTTACTATTCTGACCTCTCGATAACTTTTGTTTGTTTACTCGTTTTGGTTGATCATTTGATAAAATAAAATATTATTGTCGCATCTTGTTTTCTAGAACTTTTCATATACTTTTAAATGGTGTAATTTTTATATATTATTACTCTACCAATTTGAAAATATAATGATTTTAAAAGAGATGATATTTTGCATGTCGTTCAAAATGTTGCAAATAATTTGGAACGGAGGGAGTATTTAATGTTTAAGTGTGTACAAACATTAAATGTCAAATGTAAGTGTGTCTGAATTGATGTGCATTCGTTGTCAAAATCTTAAGACCCCCTAGTATTTTTGAATAAGAACTATCCCATCATTTTAAAAAACAGACTCTCGGGTATCTTAGAATATCTGAAAATTAACTTAGGAGGAATCAATTTCCGTCCTTCCCTCCATCATATTCACTTGCTCCATTATACTTTTATCATCTCCCAAAAATTGTTAATATGTACCCCGAATTTTGTAAAAATAACTTTTCAAATCCAATTTTTTTAAAAATTATACTTCATTACTTGAAAATATCCAAAAACATGATGTGGAGAGACTTTTCTTTATTCCTTTTATTACATTTATTATTATTATTCATCATTATTATTATTATCATTACTATTATTGTTGTTATTATTACTATTATATTATGATGATGATGATTATTATTGTTACTATTACTATTATTATCACTATTACTATTATTATTATTGTTATTATCATTATTATTACTTTCTTGCCATTATCTTTCGCAGTTGTCACCAGGTTGTCATTAGCCGCCAAAGTTGCTTATTGAGTCGCACACATTCTAACAACTACAACTACAACAACAATAATAAAAGAAAAAGGAAAAAGTGATGTTCATTGTTGAAATATTGGAATAGTAA